CATTATTGCGTGACTTTGTGTTTGAATCTGGTAAGGAGCAGTTTTATTCAGGGCTATTGTAAAGGTGTCAAGTTAATATCAGCATAGAATAGGAACTACTCACAAGACCAACTGGGAGATTATAGCCACATCAGCAGACTGAAGAGTCATACCTGTTAACATGGACCTAGAAGAGACGATCAGGGCTGGGACCAATTCTTGGCTAGACTGATTTAAGCGGCTTCTTGCTGACAGGCAGACCAGGAGTGATCAAGTATCGAAGGGCAGAGATGAAAGACTTGATCAGGTATCAAAGTGATCAGTGATGTAATGGATTCTGAAGGGTGGAGACTGATTTCTTTCTAAATAATATAAAAGAAGAGGCACTTCTGATGAGCATAATGGACAAAGAGCCTCAGATAGGGGCCCAAGGATGAGACCTGTTTATAAAGAGGGCTGAGAGGACACTAACTAAAAGTTTAGTATAGATAGGCAAAGATTGCTGTTCAGTCACATGGTGGCAATTCGATGTTTAATTTTTTACAAGGTTACAACATTGCATACATTTCTTCTACAGATAGACTCCTACCAGCATTTATATCACCCAGCCATAAATTTTGTAAAAAAAAATTTTTAACTTTCTCCCATATTCTTGCCGGACCGACCTATTTATTTTCCTGTCTTTTCATTTGCTTAGTTTGGATTTTTAACTATTCACTAAAGGTAGAACTGACTCATGGTTGCCACCTTGGGAGAATTGTAATTCATGTTCTTGTCTCTCCTTTCTTGTAGACTACTATTAAGACATATGTGAGTACTTGGTTGTAGATCTTGATAAGTGTCAATGGCTTAGAGAGTTCTCTTTAATATGCATGCGAAGATGATTAATAGTGTGCTTCTTTCTTTTTTTTCATATTTTTTTTTTTTTTTATATGGGTTTTGAGACCTAAAGGCTCCTGGCTGTTCACTCTGTGCTCTCGGGTTAGCCAAGGTGCTGAAAACTTCTATCCAGGCAATAGCAGCGGCGAGAGCCGCATGGTGGCCAGGATGACCGAAAGTTGCCAATCGCGCCTGGATACAGATAGGTATAGTACCAGGAGAGTATCCATAGTTATTAACAACATGCTAGTTCAAAATAACAATATCACAAAATCATATGTGTAAGTTTTGAGTCAATTGCAAGTCCTTGTCTCATCCTCACTGCATGGTGATGCGGTAGCAAAGCCACTCTTCCTCTTCTGGATCTTTCTGTGCAGCACAACTTCTAATTCGAGTAGGCATTAGTCTCTTTTTTAGACAAGTTTCTCAAGAGATGCTTTGTTCCTCATAGACCAGTAAGCAGTTATTTATCTTTAGAAGTAAACATTTTTTTCAGTAGAGAAGTATGACAGGATTAAATGCCAATTAGCAAGACTTCTGCTGGTGGGTCAGAACATTCCTATGATTTGTAAGCCCTTCTTAGATTTTTTTTGGATGTATGCCTTTTGAAGTTTAGATGTTTAGAAATCCATGGTACTGTTGAACATGGCATCGTAGCTTATGGCCTGAAGGTTACCCTTGGGGGGATATATCAGGTTCAGCATTCACTTTGGAGGCTTGCCTTCTTCCCCATGAAGGGGGAAAGAGGGGAAAGTGAGAAAGTATTTCCTACAAATGGTCATTCTTGGGCAATCTCATTAAATCTGACCTTGACAATCTCAAATATCTATGGAGCCAGACACTCCACAAAGTTTTATTTAAAAAGTCTATTATGTAATAAGTTGCAGATTCCCCAACAGGAAAATGGCTGAAATCCACAAGTCATTTACCTAGTCACGTAGAAAAACTCAATTAGAAAAACTGGCATTTATTCAGATTGGGAAAAGTGCCTTGGCCCAGATAGGAATATTTTCTCAAACCAAAAGCTGTAAATATTATGCACAGAAGTTAACTGTTCCAGTTGTAGAAATACAGATCTGCCTGGTTGGTAAAGAATCCCAGAGAAATTTACCAAACCCACCTGAGAAAGTAGACCCCATCAATTTTCATTTCATTCATCTTCCTGCCCTGCGCTTGCTGACAGCCCAGAGAACAGAGCACATTTTCCTGGTGCCAAAGTTCCGCAGCGCTTTGCCTAGAGGGAATTTGAGACTCACAGCAAAGCAATGTCTCTGCAACACTTCTGCCTTTTCTTCTTCCCCTGCTCATTGCTTATATCTTTCAACCTTACCTCTGTTTGTAACCAGCAATTTAAAAATGCTTTTGTCTTTCCATTTACCTTCTGCTGTGCTTTCTTCAAAGATCAATTTCCATCCGACTTCCTCTTCCAGAATGCTTTGCTTCGGCTGTCATCTCTCTGGCTCCACTCACAGTGAAATTCCCCAGCTTCCCAGACCCAATCCTGGCCACGGAAACCTCTGCATCCCTCCCTCTTGCTCACAAATGCCAAGTTCCAGCTGCAAACTCCTCCCCACACAGGTCCAAGGTCCACCCAGCCCCTGCCTTCCAAGGCAGGATATTCTTCTCTCTCCAAGCCTTTTTCTGCCAGGGAGGTTCTGGGACCCACTGTTGCCGTGGCAGAGACTGTTTCTGTGTCTGAGACATACCCAGCTTTGCCAAAATCCTTCTCTGTCTTTAGATTCCTCCACCAGATTCCTCGCACTGACCAGTGGGATTTCTGGGCACAGGTGAGCTTTGCAAGCCTCATTGTCATTGGGCTGAGTGGATTCTTTGAGACTGTTGGATGATCACCCTAGCAAGTTATTTTCCCTTAAAAAAGGTCCTCAACCTGAAATGGCTGTTAGTCACACTGAGACGCGTTAGAAAAAATTCATTTTCCCTTAGAGATTTTTATTTCATTCGTCCATGTGGACATTGCTGTTGTTTCATAGCTCCTTCGGAAGGTCTAATGCGTGCGCCCAGGTTTTGAATCAGAACAAAAACCTTCAACCTATATACATTCTTCGGACCAACCTTTTGTCTAAATTGGTTAGGATTCACTTTGAATCCTCAGTGGTGTAGCAGCCTACCCTTAGGGAAACTTACCTCCTCTGTCCTCAGAGTGAGTTCACTCCGAAAACACTAGGAACAGAATGTGCCTTCAGAGTTTTCCAACAAAGTTGCTGGGAAAGTTGACAATGAGTCTCAGCCTGGTAAACTGCCAAAGAGAATTTCATAAAAGAAATGAGAAGGTCCCAGGCTGAAAAAGAATCCAGGGTGATCACACAGTTACTTACATTTGCTGACAAAGTATTAACTGTTCTGGTGACTCTGGCAAAATAGTAGCATCAGGCAATTAACCATGTACATTACACTTGGCTTCTGCTCTGTTTTTTTCTTCTAGCTTTGATTGTTTAAGGCTGGAACTGGACTTAGAAATCTTCTACTCTGATATGACTATTTTACAGATGAGGGAACTGAGGGCAAGAGAGATTGCAAATTAACAGAAGTCTCACAGCTCAGTAGAGGAAGAGGAGGGAGGGAAAGAGTCATCTTTCTGAGTCTTATGTTCTTGTAGCCACATGCACCTTTCGCCTACTCACTGCTTTGCTTTGGAAATGCAGCTGATTATTGTCCATGTGCAAACTAGCAATTTTTTAGTATATGCCCAAAAAATATTGAATTTTATAAAAAAGCAAGCACTAGAGGTAACTAATTGTTGATTCATTATTAAGTTCAAAAATATGGGAAATAAATGGGGGAAAATGACTTTATCTCTCCAAGCCTCTCCACAGCGGGGTGATTTAATCCCTCCCAGAAATGTGAGCTTTGAAAGACAGTGCAGACTTTGCTTGGTGCTGTATCTAGTGGATGATAGTAATTATTATTAATGGGAGAGATTGTATAAAATCAGCACTCTGCAAAACATGTTTAGAAGCAATCAGATAAGGCAGGTGACAAGGTGTTTACATATTAAGAGTGGGAGCTGTTTATGCTGAGTAAGAGCTTTAAGAGAAACATTCCTTTGACTCTGGGTGCTTTTTATTTGAGAACAAAGTGCAATGGCTTTTACCACCCTGTCATTCTCATTTGAACTAGAAAACAAATTCATTGCTGTTTGTGAGAATGATTTTCAGTTTATTAAGATACATTATTTTTAAAGCTCAGAAGAAATCAAGTGTTATCTTTTCAAAAATCAAAGACAGCTGGACATTTATACTAGCCAAAGAGTATACTGCCAATCAATGTTATTTGTCTCTGTAAGTAATTTGAGAAGTGTGAACAATTTACTTGTATTTTATTTTAAGAGAAATGTTTATATTTCCTCTATAGTTACCAATATATGCAATAGCTCACAAAAATATTCTGTATGTATATAAATGTTTCTTATTTTTTAATTTTTAATTTTTTAGTTAGTATCCTCTTGGTGGCAAGTAATAAAAGCCAATTATAGCTAGTTTAAGCAAGAAAGACTTCAACTTAATAATAAGAGTTCACCTGGGTCTCCTGAAGATACTAGAAGTAGTGAACATAAGCTCATGATCCCTCACTTTATCTCTTGTTTCTTTTCCTTTCTACTTCATGTACCTCTCAGACTTCTTTTTATGGTTCCTCAGGTCCACCTGATGGATGAAACTCCTCCAAATCATACCTTCAGAACAAAAATTTTATAGATCTAGCCACCCAAAGAGAGGATGATCTTCCACAGTCCCGTTCCCTACTTCCAAGGAAGATTCATCTTGGGCTAGTGGCTCATTCTTGGGTCAATCATACATTCTTAGGGTGACTTTTTTAAGCTAAGCAGAAACATAGCTTAGAAAGTCACCATAATAAGAAGCCTGGAAAGTCCAAGGAGAGAGGGGGTAGGCAAAGAGCCAATCAGAGATCCACTAAAAAAGCGTATAATTTACCAAATACTCTTTTTAAATTATGGTCTAATTTGATCCTCAAGCAATGGCAGACCACTCTGCACCCAATTCTCTTATAGCACATTCTACTTTGTAACCTTATTTTTGTGTATTCCTCATTAGTCTGTGAATTTTTGCTTTGTATCTTTAGCGCTTGACTTTGCAGGGTACAGTAAATATTTGTTGAAAAGAATGTGTGGCTAGTTCTGTTAGGTAGATCCTTAGATGAGAAAACTAGGAGGCACTGAGGTTAAGTAGAAGCACTAAGGTCACCTAGCTAACGAGTGTGGAGTCAGCTTCTACAGCCTCAATCCTTTTCCAAATCACCACTTTCTGCGTTGAATTGTCCTCTCCTTCCTCTATGGTCAGTGAATTATATAGCGGGATTTAGGCCTGGTGGTTAGAAATATGAAAAGAACAGAATTGGGATAAAGATGGCATTCGTTTTATAAGAATTTGATTTTGCCCTCTTAGTGCATCAGTTAAGAATAGCTTTTCACTAAGTACAGTCTCTACTTTCTGTCTAAACAATTAAAGGGAGAAAGAATGTTTAGTCAACATTGTGAACTACAAAATAAAGTTTACATTTAATTTTTCTGTTTTAGGTACTTTATTCCTGAAAATGATATTCAACCTGGCAGCCACTCCCAGAGAGCTGGCCATTTCTCTTATAATTTTGATGACGGTTTTTATTTTTGTAAGAGCACTCAGGAGCAAGGGCAGAAAGCAGGTGTCTCCTCCTGGCCCACCGTCCTTCCCCATCATAGGAAATCTTCTCCAGCTTGGAGATCATCCTTACCTTACATTCATGGAGATGAGGAAGAAATACGGAGATGTCTTTCTCCTCAAACTTGGCATGGTGCCTGTCGTGGTGGTGAATGGAGTGGAAATGGTGAAGCAAGTGCTACTGAAGGATGGAGAGCAGTTTGCAGGCAGACCTAACATGCACACATTTTCTTTCCTGGCAGAAGGAAAGAGTCTTTCATTTTCAGTGAACTATGGAGAGAGTTGGAAGGCTCATAAAAAAATTGCCTCTAATGCTTTACGAACTTTTTCTAAAGCGGAAGCAAAATCCTCCACTTGCTCTTGTTTACTTGAGGAACATGTCACCGAGGAAGCTTCTGAGCTGGTGAAAGTCTTTGTAGACTTGACTTCCAAGAATGGCAGCTTTGAGCCCAGAAGTGCCATCACCTGTGCGGTGGCCAACGTTGTCTGTGCCCTTTGTTTTGGCAAGAGATATGACCACAGTGATGAGGAGTTTCTTAGGATAGTTAAAACAAATGATGACTTACTCAAGGCCTCTAGTATAGCTAATCCTGCTGATTTTATACCATGTTTCCGCTACCTTCCACTGCGGATTATAAATGCTCCCCGGGAGTTTTATCAGGCCCTGAATCAGTTTATTGGAAAACATGTACAAGATCATCTTACCACATATGATAAGGTAAGAATTTAAATAAATACCAGGACAAAGTTTTGGTGAGAAGCAAACAATAATGATGAGATACATTGAATACCAAGAAAGTTGTATTGTTCCTTAATTCTAATGAAACTTGCCCAAGCTATTAGTAAATTTGAGGTCCAGATAGTGAGATCATAGGGCAGTATTACTGTTTTCATGTGAAAACCCTAAGAGCTCTGAATTCTTTGATTCTCAGAAACTTTTCCCCAGAAGCAGAAACTTCCTCAGTGTAAATAAGGCACATACCTGAATTATGAATCTATAATTTCCTGATAAAAAATGATCAATATGTGAGTGAGTTACTTGAAGAATTCAACCAATTCTTTTGTCTCTCCCATTTCACAACTGATATTATGAAGTCTCAGACTTAAAAGTCCCAAAAGTATCAGCATATTTTTATCAGAGAGTATTTTGATTAATTATAAAGAATATCCTATAAGAAGCGTCCAATTTTCCCTTATTTTTTTTTTACGTGGGTTCTTTTGCTATAGAGAAATGAATGTTGAGATCATAATACATGCATTAAGTTTTTCCAGATGGCAGAAGTGGACCTTCCTTGTTAAGCCATTGAATTGTTTTTGGCTCATTCTGATGGTCTACAGAGGAGCAAACTTCTCTCTTGAAATATATATATACTAGAAAAAAAATTTAGTTGATGATGGAGGGGAGGGATTTGCTGAGATGAGGGCAGCAGGACAAAAATAAATAAAACATGGAGAAGTAGATAATTGAGCAAATGAAGAAGTAGGAGGAGTTGAGTCTCTCCAGTGAAACAATAGGCAGAAGACAATTTGTTTCAAGGTGCCAGATGGGGACTCTAGATCAGGCACAGTAAGTGTTAGAATTTGTAAAGTTCATATAAGCTTTTCTTCCAACTCCCTCAAATACCCTAACCCCATCTCTTTCCCTATGGTGATCACAGTAAAAGTAATTTTTTTACAATGACTTTGGACAAACTTATATTCACCTAGCAACCTCTCTATAATAAGTTAATCTTTAATTCTGACATTTTTAATAAATTGTGCTTACAGACATAGGTGCTCTTTATTTCTTTATTGAAAGAAGTTCTAAGTAGAAAATTGAGTTTGGTAACTTAGTTTTTTTATTTTACACTCTCAAGATTGTCAGGCAAAAATAGTTGCAGGGCTTAAAATGGTCTATTTATATTCTTTATATTTCTAAACTCATGGGGTTCATTTCAAGCTACATAGGGACGTGGCCCTTCCTGCACAGGATTTATATGTGATACAAAATGTAAATGGGGATGAATAATCGTGCTAAGGTTTGTTTCCTCAGGACCATATCCGAGACATTACTGATGCTCTGATTAATACATGCCACAACAAATACGCTGCTACCAAAACAGCCACTTTAAATGATGATCAAATCATAAGCACCGTGAGTGACCTCTTTGGAGCTGGTATGTGAGAGTATTTGTCAACATGTAAGGCTAATAAAGATAGGTTGGGTTTTTTTTCCTTATCTACTGTTTACAGTTTAGAATATTTCCCTCTTTCTCTTCCACTTTGTGCAGTTGATCTCACACTGTGTGAATAATTTGATATTCTGCTATCTTCCTATGTCATTCAGAAAACTTTATTTTGATCTCAGGAGCAGAGACTTGAGTGAAGAGTAGCTCCCAATTCATGGTGCATTTCCATGTTGTCCATGCAATGACTGCCCTCGTTTGTTTATTACCTTTTATCCCCACTCTCAGGCCCTCGCCCAACCCATTGACATTTATTCCTAATCTGTTTAAAGTGTTATTGTTTTTATGTATTCTTATAAAATGGAATTTTATTATCATATATTAACATATATTTTTATATTATCAAGTACTTTAATTTATGTAAATATAATTGTTATTTACATCTAAATGTTTCTAACATTTTTCATGAACCCCTATGCTTTTAAAATCCAACCACGGTTGCCAGGTCTCATGTGGACATCCTGATTGTTTGCCACTCCAGGCTTGTATAGAAAATGCAGATGGTGTGCTAATGTTAAGATGATCATCTTTGCACATGAGTTTTGCCTCCTTTGGAAAAACAACCTTATGTTAAGAAGTAGAATTTCTGGGTCAACTAATAAAAGTATTCTTGAGTTTTAATACACATTGCTGAATTCATTTTCAGAAAGACTGGACCAATATATCCTGCTACCATATTACTTTCGTTCTTAAATTTCTTGGTTGTTTCTTAAAAATCATTTTTACTCATTAAATTTATTATAGGTACTATAAGATATGAGATTGTAGGAAACAAATTCTCTTAGTATAACAAACAAAAGGTGTTTTAGCAATTTCATTTTAGGTAAAATATTCTTCAAAATCATTTTTTTCCTTTTCTTCTTTAAACCATCTTTATTGGTAATTGGGTTTATTTGTTTCTAGGATCTATAAATTTGTGTTCCTGAATTTTCTTTGCAAACAGAAGTATTTGTTTTGATTTGTATTAATTTTTGATTTTGTATTAATTATACATACACACACATATCAGGGAACGGGAAGAGAGAGAGAACTCCTGGAACAGAGTAAGTGCTCAATAGCTTCTTGTAATTATTGTTATTATTACAAGTCATAGCTATTATTATTATCACATCAATAGTGTTTATTATGAAGTGACATGTTTCCACTTGTCTTAAAATTCACACCTATATATTTTTTACATTTTATATTTAATTGCATTTACAAATATGTAGCATTAAATTTACAGTCATATACATGTTTAACCCTTGCACTCAGATGTCTAGTGTGGTTAATGTCAAGTGGATAATGAGAAAAAAGCGAGCGAGTGAAAAGGGTTAAGTATACAGTTCAGTACTGTTGAGTATGTTCATATTGTTTTGAAACAGATCTCTAGATATTTTCATCTTGAAAAACTGAGATGAAATTCTATGTCCACTAAAGACTAATTTCCCCTATGCCTCACAGCCCTTGGCAGTCTCCTTTCTACTTTCTGTTTCTATGATTCTAATTTAGAAACCTCATATGAGTGGAATCATATAGTATTTGTACTTTAATGATTATCTTATTTCACTTAGCCTAATGTCCTCAAGGCTTATCCATGTTATAGCATGTGACAGGATCTACTTTTTAAAGACTGAATAATATCTCATTGTATATATGTACCACGATTTTATTATGCATCCATCCATCAATGGATATTAGCTTTCACATCTTGGCTATAAGAAATAAAGTTGCAATAACCATGGGTGTACAAATATCTCTTCAAGGTCCTATTTTGAATTCTTTTGGACATATACTCTGAAATAGCATTGCTGTATAATATGGAAATGCTATTTTTAATTTTTGAGGAACCTCCATACTCTTTTCTATAATAGCTGCACTGTTTTACAGTTTCACCAACAGTTTCAATTTCTCCTCATCCTCATCAACACTTATTTTCTGTTCTTTTGAGTAATGGTTATCTTAACGAGTGAGAGGGTATAACTATATTTTGAAATCAACCTTAATATATAGTAATCATTTCATTGTGATTCCACTAATTTTTGGTTGTATTTAGATCCCTTTTTCCTGATTCTTAGCACTCAGATATGAAGTATATTGAGCATACCAATTTTGCGGATAATCCTTTTCCATGAAACTTGGTCTCTTGTTTCTTTTCCAGGGTTTGAAACAGTATCAACGTGTCTCTATTGGAGCTTTCTTTATTTGATACACTATCCAGATATTCAAGCCAAAATTCAAGAAGAAATTGGTAAACGTGTTTTCAGATGAAAAATGTAATTCTTATAATTATCATTATTCTTATTAAATTAAAAAAAATACTTTTCCTTAAGGTAGAAACATTGGGCTGAGACCACCCAGATTTGAAGACAGGAAATTTTTACCCTACACAGAAGCTTTCATAAATGAAGTATTCAGACATGTCTCCTTTATTCCTTTGACTATTCCACATTGGTAAGCACATGATTCTCCTTTGAAATAGCAACCAATGGTAGGCTGGGGACAGTGAGGTATCTTAGACATTGGAATACTTAAAGTGCCTGAAAAATCTATTGCATGTTGTTATTTTAGTATTACTTTTTATTTTGAAATCCTCTAATAAATTTTTGTGTAGAGCAAAAGCGTATTTTGTGAGCACCTTCCATTACTAAACTATGATGTCATTAATTTTCACCTTATATGTACTCATCAAGGGAGAAAAGGGTATGGAAGCTCTAAACAAATAGATAACCTAACCGTAGTGTAATTCGGCTATGCAATGTCATACAAACTCACTTAACGTCATCTGATGAGCAGCCTTAGCTTCCTGCTGATGTGGCTTCATTTTCAGTAGCCTAGAATTTTGCTGGACAATAAACTAAGGAAGTCAATGCTTTTACAAATAGATTAAACAGAGTGCTCATTTAGAGATATTTGAAAGCTTACTGAAATTTGCTCCATTATCTCCAGCATATGTGCATGCCAGCGTAGGTTAAGAAGATAGCCTTCATTAAATATGTATGTGGAAAACCAAAGTTCTGGTACTTTGATCTGGTTTTGTTTCCCACAATTAAAATTGTCTTAAAAAGTAGAATTCTCAGTGTTTTTTCTCTCTCCTCCCTTTAAATGGTGAAGGAGTGGGAATTTTTCTCTCTCCCGGGAAACTGACGTAATCATTTAGCAATTGGCACAACAGCAGGCAGTGCCCTCAGGCTGAAGTGTCCCAAAGAGCCAGGCCACTGGCTGAGCAGAGTCAAGGCCAGACAGCCAGTGACGCAGTTCCCAGGGTTTTGTCTCTTTAGTTCTCCTTTTTTTCACACACAATGCCTATCTTTTCACAATGATCCCTTTTCTTCTAGCTTCTGTGTCAAATCCTCTTTCAGTTAAAGCAGATTTCACCTGTAAGTTTTTGTGTTTTTTTTAAAAAAAAAAAAAAAAACTTCTACACTTAAAGAAGCACCTCTTCTGTTCCAATGACTTTCGTAAGGTGACTTTGGGCGCTTCATAAGAGTATGATGTACACCTCTGCTAAGTACTCAGGAACACAGAGGCTCTGCCAAGTTTATGGGCATGGTTTGGAATAAAAGAGATCATCTAAATGAGGGCCCTGAAAACTCATCTGAGGGTCTAATTGATAGGGAGAAATATATATTAGGACAGAGGCATTCATTATATTATTAAAAGTAAAGAAAGAAATTAATATTTAAAACTAAAAGAACAAATGCATTGACCAACAAGAGCACTGTGATGATATAAGCCAAGAATTTCTGTGCACACAAGAAAGTCTTTTTACGTTATTTGGGACTGATCTATTCTACTATACCTGCAAGTTTATTGTTACTGATTTAAAAGGAAAATAGATCAAAACCCACAAAGTATCAAGATGTTAAAATGAGATGAATTGAAATAAACTAAATGAAATAATCTTAAGTAAAAACAGCAAAAGTTTGCTGGTACATATGACATATGTACATACACATAGACACATATGCACAGGACCAAACAGTATCATAATAAATATTTTATATATATATATGTTTCTTAAAAAGTATATAAAAAGCCACTTTTATACACAAAGTTTCAGGAACATATCAGTAGGTAAAGAAAACCTTGAATTTACTCTTATATTTAAATGTTAGTGAAATAAAGTTCTATATACCACATTTGCATAAAATAGCAGCATGTAACTTCTTATCTGAGTAGAATCTGAGCAGCTAAATGCACAGAGTGGGACAGGAATGTATTGAGATAGGCGAGCATCTATGCATGAGAGGAAATAATCCTTCCAGAAAGTAGGCCTATTGTTTGTTTGGCCTTCCCCCTTGTTGGGTTTTGAGGGCATTCAATAATATTCATAGTATTTGCCAAAGTTCAGTACCAGCTACAAAATAGACATAGATCAGATACGGATTAGATTATTAGCTTTTTTAATGATCAGAGCTAGTTTGTACAATGTGGCTTAGAGCTAGCTCGAGTAGACTTGCTAATACTTCTCACTTGAAGTAGCCATACTTCTCCACCTAGTCTCTGGCTGGGTTGGACAACTTCAGGTCTCTCCTGGAAGGACAAAATCTGTTCTGCTAAGTTCAGCCCATTGGTGATTGTAGATGACATAGATCTTTATTACAGTTCAGCTAATTTGAAGAGAGAACCCAGAAGTGGCTAAGACAAATGTGCCCACTGCCTTCTCCCAAACTCATCAGATGGGAATGCTCTGCTTCTCCTACTATAAAGGAGTGTGAGGGCAAACTAGTGAGAAAGGGAGTGCTATGTGGGAAACATAACATGATTTATTCTAACCCATGCATAATTATAGGACTATAAAAGTGAAAGGTGGACAGTTTTCAGAAGGAGCTCTATTCTGAGACTGAGAAAAATAAATCATTAACTCCAGAGATCAACTTAGAGATGAACTTAGAGATCATCCAACATAACCAACACCTTCACTTCACAGCTAGAAAATGGAGAGAAAATTCACAGAGTAAATACAAGATGTACCTGGCATGTCCTTGAAAACAGTGATCAAAGTTTATATTTCCTTGTTTCAATTGCATTTTCTTTTTATCATTTACTATAAGAAATGTGACATTTGTTTTCCTAATGTTTGAAAATACACATTAACACATTGAGTCTATAGAAAGTACTTACTAATTTCCTTAATAGTTTCCTGGTGTAATTTGATCTGCTACTTACGCTGTCATAAAAATAATAAGATAATTTTCTAGTGAGAATTTTAGCTCATAGAAATGCCTTGAATATATTAAGTGCATATGTTTAACACATATAAGAAAAATGCTAAATTATTAATTTGACGAGAGGTGGAAATTGCTTTAATTAATGAAAGAATTAGGATTTACAAACAGATAATGTTATACTAAGAAGACATAAAGAAATATAGTCTGTGAGTTGTGGGAAGCAGATTAGAGATGGTCTATTTGAATTTACAGGCTGCCTTGTAACTCTGTATTTTGCTTTCCCAGTACTACAGCAGACACTACTCTGAATGGCTATTTCATTCCCAGGAAAACTTGCATCTTTATTAACATGTATCAAGTAAACCATGATGAGTAAGTCACTAAAATTCATCCTGAGATAAAATTTGCTTGTGTGGTTGTTTACAATTTATTGATCTGGGAAAGATTTATATTCTTCTTAATCAATCTCAGTCCTTTTTCTCTTGGAAAAAAGTTGGAACAAAATTCAGTTTTCTATCCTTGTCTATAATGAGAAGGGTAGTATCTTAATACAAATTTAGGAAAAATTCAATTCAGGGCAAATCCAATGTCATAAGTGGCTCATTAGGAAAGGTGTGTGCCAAGGACTTTGTGGGCTTCCTTTTTGCATGGTTATGACCAGTTGGTATTTGAAATGCAGTCTGAAGTCCTCCACTGAAATGTAAACCACAAAGCAGGGATTTTTTTGTTCTTTTTATTGTTGCTTTTTTTTTTCTTTTTCTTCTACTTCAGCATGTAGACTACTGCCTGGCACATAATTGGTCCTCAGTAAATATTTGTTTAAGAAAATGAACTTAGAAGCTCACCTATATCAGCTGTAAAAGGAAGGGCTGAGATGAAGATACCCCATGCAATGAAAGTGAGGATAATGGCAGTGGCGATGGTAATGGAAATAATGACTCCAGCTAATATTTATAGATCCCTACTGTGTGCCAGGCACAAAATCTTGAAGTATCTACCCTGAACCTCCACAGTAACACTATGCAATGGTGTTATCAGATTCCCATTTTACAGATAAAGAAATTCTCAGCCAGGTGAAACACCCACTGATTGTACTGAATAAAACTAAGCATTTTTATATGCTCTGTAAGAAGAAATACAGTCAGTGTAAATTGAATGGCATTTGTTCTCAGTGTAATCTTAAGTATTCTAGTATCTTAAGAACTTGTGAACCTATGAATTATTGAGTAATGTTCAAACGACTGAAGTTAACACAGGTGCTACTAAAGTAATACTATTTGTATGGAGGTACTTGTTTAAGCTAAATGAGTGTGTAATTCAAGACTTTGAATTATGGGGAATTATTCATGTTTAATCTAAACCAGAGGTTACAAACTCAGGCACCTACTGAGCAATGGAGAATAATGAATTGCACTTGGTGCAGCATTTAGGACGGGGTCATATGCTGCATCTAACTCAGCCGAATGAACCGTTGGCAAGGACATTGTCCCAATGTTGTCAGCTTTTACAATTATAAAACAGAACTTGGAAATGCAAATTTTCACATGAAATCTGATTTTTAAAGGTTAGCAATAACAAATAATATTTAAAAGATTATGAGAGCAAAGCAAAATGTATTGGAAGACTTTGTGGGTCTGTGACCTAGGGTGTAGAGAGAAACCAATTTTCCTTCTAGAGAGAAGGTGACATCCACACATAAAGAGGCCCAGTTCTTTGTGAAGGCAAGTCGGTCCCTGGCACATGGTTTAAGGTGTATTAGAAAACATGCTAGCATTAGTTTTCACATGGGCAAGCCAAATAAGGTGCCTGTAACAAAAGATGGAGATAAGAAAGAGAACCGATGCCTAGTAATTTGGGAACTATGGGCAACCCCTCAATCAGAGCTGCTTTTGGGAGACCCAGCTCCTCTCTGTTATATACAAAGAACATTTCCTAATCATATTTGTACCAGAGTAAGAGATATAATTCAAACAGTCTCATCATTCTCATTTATTTTACTTAAAACAAAACAGATAGAACATTTATTGCTTTTTATTTATTTCTCAATTTCAGAATATTCATATGAGAATTTTGTGGACCTCTTAATCTAAAATAATTAAAAATGGAAATAAATTGTCAACTATTTTATTCACTATTTAATGAATCAGAAGCCATTTTAGTGAAAAGGATAATTACAGCTATTAGCTATTTATGATAGCTAAGTTTGTCAAATATTAAAGGAAAAAGTAACATATATATCCGTAATAATTATGTATATAAAATCATATATCACCATAATTATATATACATATCTGTGTATACATACTTTACATATATGTACACCTACTTTATATATAAATGTTTATATATATAAAATTTATAAAGAATATTCCAAACTTAAAATATTTCATGCAAAACAAAATTATTGTGGAAAAGTTAGCAATAAGAGCAAAAACTATGAAATGATAAAATGATTTTTTAAATGTTATTTGTCTCTATTTTATGCAGAACTATTTGGGATACTCCCAACTTATTTAGACCTGAGAGATTTCTAAATGAAAACAGAGAACTGAATAAAAGTCTTGTTGAGAAAGTTTTGATATTTGGAATGGGAATCCGGAAATGTCTGGGAGAAGATGTTGCACGAAATGAGATATTCATTTTCATCACCACTGTTCTGCAGCAGCTCAAGCTGAAAAAGTGCCCCAGCGTTGAGCTTGACCTGACGCCTACGTATGGGTTAACCATGAAGCCAAAACCGTACCAACTCCAGGCAGAACTTCACCCCTTACGTAGTTTGTCTACTTAGATTCTCAGACTGAGAGGAAGGTTTCTTATTTAATTCAAACTCAGTTCTACTATGAGATCTATTGTCTTGTGAGAATATCTTAAAATAATAATGAAGTGTGATATAAATCAAGGGGTTTAAATCCTAATCTCTCAATAGATGGTAGTATCAGAAGAACCAGAATTGAGCGTTTATAATCTGCATTTTTACCAGTATACATATAGTGGATTTTGAAATGTTTTATTCAGACTATATACAAACTTAATTTGTTTTGATACATAAAGGTGAATGGTTTTCAATATATCAAAAAATAAATAATTAAAAGAAAGAAAGAAACCAAAGAGCCATGTCGTGGTGTCCAGGTGTCACTGTGGGCGTGAGTGCCAGGGCAAGATAAGTGACAGGCTAAGTGAGCAAGCAAGGGGACTCTGTCTGCCTTCCCTTCACACCAGCTTCAAATAGACAGGTGTATTCATCTTTGTTTTAAATATAGGGTTCAGAATAAGAACAAGGTTCTGATGCAAAATGCATTATTTTCAGTGATCTAAGATATAGGTTCTCAAGAGAGCCGGAGAAGGGAGCTAGAGTGACCTAGAACAGCAGAGAGCATTACATGGTGGCAATAGTTGAGCTGGGCTAGATTTAGAGAGGTAGAGAAAAGGCCATGAGAAAGCATCTCCTCAAAGTCCATTTTTTGTATAGGCTCTTACATTTTCTGCCTTAAGAACTTATTTTCAGGGCAAATTGGTATTTCCACAATGCTACCCATTTATTTTGGTACTTACTAAATACACATGTATATTGTTTTTTTTTAGGACTGCCATAATAACAAAATACCAGAGGCTAGGTGGCACATTCTTTGGGGAACATATATACACATTTCTGTTGACCATATAAATATAGGAGTGAAAATACTGAGTCGCAAACATTTGTTCATTCAACTTTTGAACTGCCAGCTAGATTTTCAGCACGATTGTACTAATTTATACTCCCACCAGCACCAGCAACATAAAAGAGATGTCTGGTGATTTCATATCTTCTTTAACATTTGGCATTTTCTGTCTTTTTCATTTTAGATACTTTGGTGTTGTAAACATACCCTATTAAAGAGACAGACCATGAGAAACACCCCTGACCTATTACCTTAAGTGAACTTGATTTGCGCAGTGTTAGCTAGTTTATTCCCTCTTAATGAAATGCATCTGGGACAGATCGAGTGCATTCATGCACTGAAGTCCTTCAAATGTGAATGATCTCCTGTTCCACGTTCCACCACATACAAATGATCTCAGCTCACAGTTACCATGGCCTCCTGAGAGAGAGAGACTTCTTTTTTCTAATTTCCTTTGGTAGTGATACTACAGAATTTTCTCCATTAATCAGAACAAACTCTACTTTTAAGATACATTTCAGTTATGACCATGTCTACATTTTGTTTATAATTTAGGGGCAGTCTAAAAGTGGTTATTTACGTGTGTTTATCCTGCGACATGCCTCTATTATAGTTTTTGGAATTTTATTTTTCATTGCCATGGCTGAGACTGAAAAACAGCATGTTTTCCTCATTGCATCACATTTCTAAAATTCCTTCTTGGTCAAAGTGCAAGTCTGTTGATCCTTATAAACTTCTGTCTTTCTGGTGAGAAAAGAAGATCCAGGAGGGCACATTTTGAGAATGTATTAATTAATTTCCATTGCCTTTGTGTTTCCTTTGCTTTATTAAACTCTTCATCTTTTCCAACGAATACCATTCTGCTTATTATTTACTTATTTTTAAAATAAAGAATTGGAGTGATTTCTCATGCTTTTCTAGAAGTGTCATTTCATTAGAAGGGTATTTCTGGGGAATAAAAGCTTAAATTTTAACTTTGAAACTCTTCTAATAGTTTGATTGATACAGTTAAGATTTCCCTTACTGTTCTTTACACAGTGAGGTGATCCTGTGAATGCCAGGAAGGATTTTGCATGCAATGATCAAGAAAAATGAAACCTCCACACTTAACTTCTAGACATATCTTCAAATTTGTTTATGCTACATTTTGCCAGGCAAAAATAAGCAATTTTCAAATAGCCAAATATATCTAACTTTTCCTTAATGGTTTCTGTGATGTCATACTTAAGAAAATCTTCTTCCTTTCTAATTGATACAAATAGCCTCTTAAATTTTCTTCCAATAATTTTCTTAAAAAAAAAAGTAAGGATCCAATTCTCTTTCCTTCTACATGGATAATCAATTGTATTAGCACTATTTATTAAATCATCCACTCTTTCTTACTATGTTATATTAAAACCCCACATATACTGGATCATTCTGTGGATGCTCAGCCATCTATGGCTAATATACTTATATATTCCTGTGCTAATATCATACACTTTTTATTACAGTGACTTTATAATTATCTTTGTGTCTGAGAGTCTTCTACTTTGCCCTCTTCTTTTTATTAAGTATTTATACATTTCTTTGCTATTCTTAGATTTATTTCCCTATATAGATTCTAGAATCATTTTATATAGTGAAACAGAAAAGCCCATTAAGATGAAAATTTGATTTTTATAACATTTAGGTATTAATTTTGGAAGTACTAACCTTTCTATAGTAGTTCTTATCATTAAGTTTATTTATGTACTTCATTTAGAGCTTATAAATTAACTTTCATATAAATCTTATACTATTTTTGCTATAGTTAGGTCTAAGAATTTTTGTGTTTTAACCCTAATATAAGTGGATTTTTATGTTCTTTTTACTTTAGTCTCAACTTTGTGATTGCTGGTTAAGAGAAAAAGCTTTATACTTCAGTTATTTCTCATAGCCAACCTTTGAAGGGATGGTTATGTTTTTCTCTATTTTACATATGATGAATTCCAAGGCCCAGAGAAGTCACAAAATTTCCTCAGGCTAACAATACATAAGTGATGGAAAAAGGTTTAAAAATTCAAGTAGTAGTTTAGTACTTGTTCCCTGAGCCTCTGACCATACCACCTTCTAGTGAAGAATTCTTCAGCTAAAACCTGAAGCTTCTAGTAACAATAGCCATCCTTACTGAGGTGACTTCGTGTATAAGAAATGAGCATGTAAGATACATGGGGATACCCCTCCAAATTACATGATAGATCATGGGCTCTAGCCAGGCACTAACTGAGCAGGGATGGTGCATTAGCTTCTTGGCGATGCTGTAATAAATAACCACAAATTTGATGAGTTACAACAAGAAATTTATTAACTCACAGTATGGAAGCCAGAAGTCTGAAATCACGGTATTATTAGCAGGGCCACACTCCCTCCAAAGACTAATAAGGATGGATTTTACCTTGCCTCTTCCAGCTTCGAGTGGCTCCAGGTATTCCTTGGCTTGTGGCTGCATAACTCCAATCTATGCCTCAGGCTTTACGTGGCTTCTTCTCCCAGTTTCTCCTCTGTGTGTCTCTTACAAGGAATACTATTCTCATTAGATTCAGGGCCCACCCGGATAATCCGGGATGATCTCATCTCAACATCTTTGACTTAGTTAATTCTGCTAAGATCCTTTTGTTCAAATAAGGCTGCATTCACTGGGTCTGGGCTGTGATCATATCTTTGTGGAGGCAAACATTCAATCTGTGCAGGTAAGAAAGCACAGTTGCTACCATTGGCCCATGGTTGGAGGATTGAAGCCAATTCATTCAGATTATTGCCTATTTTTCTTTTTGCTTTTCCTTTGGGAAGCAGTTTAGTGAATTCTCTGAAGCCGTATTTCCTAGGTTCAAATGTGAGCTCTGTTATTAATATTTCATATGTTATTATCCAAAGGCAATAAATCTTTCTCTACCCCTGTAGTCCTTATCAGTAAAATGAGGAATTTTAGCAGTACTTACCTTAGAGATTAGTTAAAAGAATAAAAATTATTTAATAACTGTAAGATACACTATCTGGCATATTATAATTATTAAAAAATGATAACATCTGCAAATAGAAGAGGAATATTTTATTCTTAAGATTAAGGGTGTGTGCTCTACAAAGAAGGTGATATTTGGAATAGATGTGAAGTATAAATGAAGCTTACTGTATGGAGTAGGAATGGGGAGATGCTAGCAGGGATGAGCATTAAAAAGGCAGAGAGGTTTCATAGAGCTGGGATTGGTTAAGGAATAAAGTGAGATACAAGATGCAGGAGGTGAGCCTGGAAAAGCCTTTCTCAGCCAAAACCTCAGAATGATTCCTGAATCTTCCATCTCCCTTATAAGCCACAGCTAGTGATTTGGTCCTGTGGATTCAATCATCTATATATGAGGTATTTCTCACTGTTCTGGCCTCTTTATTCCCAATTGCCATTACTTAAACCCAGTCCCCATCAAATTTATTAGCTTTCTATATTAGTTGAGATTGCACTCAGCAGCCAGTTTGAATAATCACAACAAAATTAAAATGCCTTAAACAAATACAATTTGCATTTCTTACACAACAAAATGCCTGAAGTTAGGTGATGGCTTCCACTGGTTCAGCAGCTCCATGGCAGCTGGAGCAATGTCTCTGCCATTCCTTAGGCCTTTCCCTTTGGTTGCTGTGTATGGCTGCTACAGCTCCAGCTATCACATCTATGTTCCAAACAAGAGTGGGGGAAGAAACAATATCAGCCACATCTGTACCATTCTATAATTTAAGCAACTTGAGTTTTCCCAAAAACCACCAGTAGACTTCTGCTTAAGTTTTATTATATCAGAGAAAATAGCAAAGCATTTGGCTTACGATATTGCCAGTTCAAAGAAAAGAAGGTGCCACATGCCACCAGAAGAAATTATCTATTAATATATAAAATTGTACATGTACCAAACACATACACATACATATATTCATAAAGAGAATGATATCTGGAAGCATGCTCTCATCTCTTTATTAAGGGATTTGTGAAGATATTTACTTTCTTCTTCATACTTTGCTGAATCAATTAAATTTTTTACAGTGAACATAAAATCATGGCATTAATAAAAATGGTAATCTCCTTTGATTTTTAAATTATGCTTTTATAAATCATAATTTATTGGTATGTTCATTTCTATTATTTACTATATTTTTTTACTTATTTTCTTGACTATAACATTGCTTGTGCTGTTCTGTTAGTTAATGATACAACCGTCAACATTATTTGAAGATACAAAAGTTAGTCAGAGATGCAAACCTTCTCAGAAATTGAGACTGATGCATTTATTATGGACACTGACATGACCACCCTCTGTAGCAGAGATAGAAGTGTGGTCTCTGTACTTCAGCTGTCAACAAAGGGAAATATAAATGGGACCAGCAAGGCTGTCTGGTCCTGCTTATGTGATAGACATGCTGGTGTCAAAAGGAAATATGGATTTCTAATGCCAAAGGATAAATAAGAGGAAATATAACATGGTCCTAGCTGAGTGATTTTGGGGAACTCACCTGTCTTTTCTGAATCTCTGTTTTTTCTTTATTTGCAATTTGCTGTGATGACTAGAAAAGTATATGTGAAATACTGACTTAGAGTAGGTTTCTAAATTGACAGTTTTGATTGCTATTATTATTAATATTATTGCTGCTATTATATCAGGAAATATAATATTGAATATCACATAGTAAATTTTATCGATGTACTCATTCAAAATATATAATTCATGTAAGGAAAAACATATTCTTATTCCACAACACATAAAATGTCTTACTTTTCTTAAAAATGTAAAGCAGTATCAAATTTTTATATCTTTTCTTTATTCTTAAAGAATAAACTTAACCAAGGGGGTGGAAGACTTGTACATTGACTATAAAACACTACTACAAGAAATTAAATAAGAAATAAATTAATGGAAGGACATCTTACATTCATGAATGAAAATCCCAATGGTGATTTTCGCAGAAATAGAAAAGTCCATCCTAAAATCATGTGGAATCACAAGAGACCCTGAAGAGCCAAAACAATCTTGAGACAGAAGTGCAAAATGAGAAGTCTCATACTTCCTGCTTTCAAAACTTAAATGAAGTTACACTAATCCAAACAGTGTGATAATGGCATTAGGACAGACATAAACAATGGAATAGAGAGTCCAGAAATAAACTCTCATGTATATGGTCATATGATTTTTAACAGGGGTGCTGAGAAAGAGAAATCTGTTTAACAAATGATGCTGGGAAAACTGCATATGCATATGCTAAAAGAATGAATTTGGACCCTTACCTTATACCACATATATAGTTTATGTATATATATACACACACATATGTATATATACATATATATACACATATATAGACACAAAAACTAACTCAAAATGGATCAAAGACTTAAACATAAGAGCTAAAACTACAAAACTTTCATAAAATATATAGGGGAAACACTTCATGACATTAGGTTTTATAATGAACTTTTGGATATGACACCAAAGTACAGGGAACAAAGAACAAAATAGATCAATGGGACTTCAACAAAACTTGAAAACTATCCTTTTGTGTAATACATCAAAGGACATTGTCTACAGAGTGAAGAGGTGACTCACACCATGGGAAAAAATATTTGTAAATTATATATCTTATAAGAAATGAGTATCCAAAAAATATAAATAACTCCTACAACTTAACAACAACAACAAAAACTTGGTGATAAAAATGGACAAAGGACAATTGACAATTCTCCAAAGAAGAAATACAAATGGCCAATAAGCACATGAAAAGATGCTCAACATCCTTAATCATCAGGGAAATGCAAATCAAAATTGCAACAATGAGATATTGCTTCATACCTGTTAGGATGACTATTAAAAATCAAAACAAAACAAAAGAAAAACAGAAGTAAAAGTTGTTGTCAAGGATATGG